ATGGATGTGCCTCATCAGCTTGCTCACCTTCTGGATTTATGGATAGAGGAAGAGCACGGATGTCTTTTGCCTTGATTTTAGCAAGGGTTTTGATTCTGCCTCCCACAAATTCCCATATCCGAGCTAGGACATCAGGGGTGGACAGCCAGGTAAGTTAAAAACTGGCTGGACGGTTGGGCTCGGAGTGTTGTAGTTACTGGCTTACAACCCAACTCCACCTGGAGGCCAGTAACGAAGAGTGCCATGGGGTTTATAACAGGACCTGCCCCATTTAGCATCCTTATCAATGACTGAGGAGGTGAGCAGCACACTTCTGCCAAGTCTTCAGATGACACCACGTCAAGAGGACCACTCAGTGTGCTCAAGGCCCTGCCATCCCGAGGGACCTCAGTGGGCCAGAGCAAGGAGTCAACAAGGAAAAATACCAACTCCTGTGCAGGAAACAAGCATGGGGCAGGGGGAAAGGTTGGGATTGGGTTAGTATGGGGGTAGGAGGGAGGCAGAGCCCACAGGCCCTTGTGAGACCCCAGTCAGCAAGGTGCCTTGAGGACCCCCAGCAACATCACTGCCTGGCACCTCTTGAGGTCCTGCAAGCCAGTTTTTCTACCTTCTTGCTCTACTGCCATAGGCAACTGCTCAAGTTATCTGGATGTAAAGCCAGGTCTGTCTGCTGGATGGTGTCATAAAAATAAGCAAATACATCCAAAGCAGCACTTGACACCAAACACTTTGTCTGGAAGCTTCTCCTGCTGGCAGAGGGCTGGCAGGAAGGTGACAATTCTCAGGCCCAGAGGCACCTCCTGGGTTGGCATCCAAACAACATGCCATTGAGGATGGGATGGAGACGCGAGAGAAGCCAAACCTTCTGACACCAGTTGTCCGTCCCGGCTTCTGCAGAGCACGGCTGTGGCTCGGAGCTGGCTACCACCCATCCTTCCCAGAACACCTCAGCCATCACCACGAGCTGTGCCAGGCCCCCAGGACCCAGGCTTTATGCTCCCCTTTGGGGACTAAGCAGGGAGGGCAGTGAGCTGGGCTACCTACACCAACCCCACCAAGCACACACGGTTGTGGGCAGCAGGGTGAAGGACAGCCCAGGAGAGAGCTAGGGAAGGCAGAAGTGGTCAGATCCAGTTAACAACAGATGCCAAATGACATTATTTATTATCTCAAGTCCTGCAGTAGCCACAGGACACTTGTCACACCAGGCACAAAACTCTGGAGCACTCCTGCCCTTACTGATGGTTCAACCAGCATTTGCTGGTCCCCAGTCTTAACCCATTTTCTACATTTTTCTGACTCTGCTGAAGGCTGCAGAAAAGAATAAATGTGGCGGGGTCAAGAAACAAAGTCCCTTTGTTGCTCTCCTGGTTGGAGTTGGTTTTGGAGATGTAAGGAGGAGATGCAAGGTGAAGTTGGTTTTGGACATGCAAGCTGAAGTGTTGCTGGAACGGGGGGTCACTGTATTTGGGCATGGGGCAGAGGCTTTGGAGCAGCAAGGATGTCAGCACCTTCACTCCCTGTCATCCTGGAGGGGCAGGAGGAAGTTTACAGGGACAAGTTTGGCGTGTTTTTGTCAATTAAACTGAGGCCAGAGTGGGGAGACCACAGTGGGACATCCCTCTTGGTGAGGCCACCAAGTGTGGGAGTCAGGACAATTTCCTAAAAATGCTAAAAGCGTTTTGATTGAGGTAGACAATGGACTCAAGGCAGAATGTGGTCCTGGAGGATGTCACCACTGGTTCTGCGTTAGGAGAGCCTGGACAGCACAGCCTGGCCTGGGGGAAAGCCCTTCCCCAGGAACAACACCCTCCTTCAGCTCTTCATCTCACTCCTGGTTCCCCCAGGCGCAGAGGGATGGATAGGAGGAAAGCTCTTTCTCTTATTTATGTTTAACCTCAACGCCTTATTATTCTTTGCACAAACTCCCCAGATTTGATGGCTGCAATAGTCCTCTGGTTCTCACCCGAAAAAGGGCTCTCCTTTCCGTACTCCCCAGCTGCCTGCCATGCCAGACTTTGGCCTGGGCTCAGGCGACCAATTCTTCTTCTCCAGCTTTAAACCCCATAACGTCAGTCCAAAGCACCACACAAGCTCACTGGGTTCTGTCAAACCATTTTTAACGATGGCTGCACCCGCTTCTTACTTTTCTTGGAAAACCATCTTTGCCTAAAATCCCAATTTTGCCCCTGCTGTGAATACAACTTCCTGTCTGCCTGCACACCTCTTACCCCCAAACCTCCCAATGGTGAACTGGTGGTTCCTGGGGGTTCAGCTCACAGGATGCCCTGTCCCCACCTCAGACACAGTGCTGGTGGCCATCCCTCCCTGCTCCACCCCGCTTGGTCTCCTCTTCCCTGCCATGCTGGCACCACATCCCCACTCAGGGGCACTGTCACTTGGCTCTCAAAACATTGCCCAGGCATGGCAGCAGCTCTGACCCAAATTTCCTGGGCTCTGATTAAATGTCTGCTCCCATGCCTGCTGCCACAGCTGCCCGGCTCCCCAGGGACGCGGTGCTCTCAGCCCGCGCGGCACCCTGCTCCCATCGGCTAGCAGACCTGAACGTTTATCACTCATATGTTTAACCTGAGATGAACTTCAGCTTGGATTTGCTCATCCCATCTGCTGAGCCATGCAAGCAGCCCCTGCGCACCACCGTCCGGCTGCATGATGCGTACCACTGGCGCGCTGCCCTGCACCCAGGCACAGCCCCACCGCCTGTCCCCACCTTGCTTCACCTTTTCCAAGGCTGGCTCTGTCCCCGAGCCCAAGCGAGAGGGACAGAGCTGATGGGCAGCAAAAAGCAGGGCACAACCATCTCACACAGCAGGTTCCCTCGCTGCCAGAAAAAACAAGTCCTGCTCCTCCTCCCTGGGCCACCGATGTCCTCACTGTCATCTTTGCTTCCTCCCCAGCTCCACAATTAAGACAGTGTTAATAAGCTTTTACTGGGGGGGGGGGGAGGGAGGGGGGAAGGAAAGGAGCTGGTGAGAGGAAGCTTTGCAGGGGGAAGGGAAGAGGCATTCCTGCCACAGTCATCAGGCAACTTTCCTCTTCCTCTTGCTAACTCCCTTGCTGACCTTTGGCTCAATCTGCCAAAGCTATAAAGGAAAAGGGGAAAAAAAAAAGAGACAGAGAAACTAAAAGCAAGAAGAGCTGAAAGGACAGGCAGAAGCAGAGATGTTATCTCGCCTCTGATAATGATTTATCGCCAAAGGATTGGTGCATGGAGGCAGGGAGAGCTAAGTGCAGCTGCAGCAGCACAGAGGGAGCCACCAAGGAGGAAGGAATTAGGGGCAAAAACCCAGAGTACAGGAGACAGCACACAGGAGAGCAAAAACCCAGAGTAAAGTGCCTGTCCCTGCTGGAGGCCCTCACTGTGAGTCGGGGACTGGCCGAGTGGGGTTGTGCTGGCAGCCACCTCAGAGCCTCTGGGTCCTGTTCTGGGTTGGCCCCATGCAACAGGATTAGCTGAAACAGCAAAAAACAACAGCAGCGTCACGAAAAGCCAGCCCTAAGTCATCAAACGGGAATGGTGTGAGTCAGGGTCCCAGCTCTGCGGAGTGAGCAGGCACGGATCAGCTGTTTCAGGGCAGGAGAGCTGGAAGGCTCTGGCTCACCCACATCAGCCGTGCTACAGGGTCTTCATCTCCAATGAACAAAACCACTCGGACAGAGCTGTCCTCTTACAGAATAGATGCATTTTTAAGAAGCAAGTTTATGCGATGTCTTGGTATAATCAGTAAAAGCTTTTTATGGAGCCATTCTGTAGAAAAAAAAATCCAATATGGGAAATTTGCATCCTTCAACATGTCATTAGATCGCTGCCGTGTCCCCACATAGCGGCAAGACAACAAGAACGACCGTGACAGAATGGCAAGGGCAGACGGGAGTGGGTTGGGAAAAATCCTGGCAGAATCAGGGCTGGATTGTGTCATGGCTGTGATGGGAAGTGGGGGGGAATGTGGGCTCTTCTAGACACCAGGATCTTCCCGATGAGGTGACACATACTGCTGTGGGCAGAGATTTTGGGGAAGTTCCACTATTCTTAGCACCCCTCTCCCACTTCCTCCGCTAGATGCATGTGCCTCATCACAATGCCCGGACGCTTTTTCACTGTTGCAGTCACTGTCTGTGAACTCTGCCCACAGCATTACTGCGAAGGCAAAATGTTTATAGTGTGTTTACATTCAGAGAAAACATTCCATGCGTGTAAAAAGTCATTACTGGCATTTTTTTCCCCTCTCCCTCTCCTTTCCTTGCCCAAGTTCTAGCGGAGAACTTATTTTGCAGTGAGTTATTTATGGCCTGACAGAAGTGCTACTGACAATTTGAGACTCACAGCTCCAACCCTGGGTGATGAGACAGACTTCTTCCTAAGAAAGTCCTCTACAGGCAGCAGCAGGAGACAAAACCATATTTAAAACAGCATGGAGGAAAGTCCTCTCCTGCTCTTTTGAATGTTAACGCTTGAGTTTCCTTTCCCATTTGTCCCCAGTGAGGTTTCTGCCCCCAACCTGAACTATGCTCACCTCATCCAGCTCTGAAATGTCCCCAACCCTGATGGCAGGGCTGGGTTTCCACTGCATTAGGTGGTCCCCTATGTCATTACTCCCTCTCTCTTTCCTCCCCTCAGTCTGTCTCATCTATTCAGTTGGCTTCACCTGCTTTTAAGAAGCTTTCTTAGCTCCTTTGGTGGGGATTTTTGCAGTGGTGGGATTTGCAAACCTAAACATTGGGTTTGCAGTCCCAATTGTCGGGCTTTGCAAACCCTTTGACAAAGGGATCCTGCTTGGAGCACATGCTTTTCATTACCAGAATCACACCAGGCAGGAAGAGCTAAGTGTCCCTGCAGGCATTGGTACTCTTAGGGCAAGAAGTGTTCGTGGGGTAAAGCAAACATCTGGGAATCACACAGCACATATCTATGAATCACGGGCACTGCAGCCCAACGGCTTGTCCTGAAGGCGGAGAAAGAAAACCTCTGAAGTCTTTACCTCCCTGAGGCAGGTATAAATTGGGCAGACGAGGACTCGAAAGGGCTCTCCAGTGCTGCTCCTCATGGTGCCAAAGACCTCACAGAGGAAGGTGATGAACCCCAGCCAGCGCTCCACGTCCCGCTGCTGCAGCTCCTCCCGCATGGTGAAATCCTTCTGCAAGAGGGACAGAGACAAAGGGCTGCATCAGCAAAACCACACCGCCAGGGGAGAGGCAACGGCTGTCTAGATGAAGAATTAAGAGGAAATTGAAACTCAGGGTGGGGGGGGGGAAGACAGACAGAATGACTCTTTAGTAACAGCAGGGAGATTACTCAACACCAGTGGAGTGGCTGGAATTTAACTACGGCAAAGCCACCAGAAGCAGGTACTGTAGAAAAAACGCCAGCCTCTGTAATGACTGCCACGGCTTCCCCCTGCCCAGCCCTTCCCCTTGAATGGACTTGGGGACTCTTTTCCATATGCACAACCAAAATTGAATAAAAGTGACCGCAAGTGGCTCAAATGCAGTGCCTGGGGGATGCAATGGATGCTGGTGGCTGGGCTGGGCTTGGTGATCCAGCATCTCCAGCAAAGGTAGCTCTGAGCTGGTGTTGGGCCGGGGGCTTTCCAGCGCTCTGCCTGCTCCCTGGGGTCTCACAGACATACAGCAGAGCCTGGCTGCCTGCCCACCCAGAAGATTAGGGGAGCACAGAGTTGATATTAAAAAGTCACTCTGCTCCTGAGCTGATGGTTGCCATGACCAAGGATTATGAGGATGATGTGATTTATGGAGCAACACCGGGAGTGAACGAGAAGGGAGGCAGATGCCTCCCCCACCAGTCCTCCAGCCAGGGAGGAAAAAAGGGTTTGCCAAAAGGCAGGACATGAAAAGGGGTATGTGTGTGTTGGGAGCGTGTGGCAACGAGCAAGGAGGAACAGAGAAAAGCAAATAAAAAACTTTCCAGAGGGCACCACCACCACGTGGGATGGCACTAGAGTGTGCTCACCACTCGGAGCCGAGAGGTCTTCCCTAGGCTCTGAGTGATGCTGCAGAGCCTCTTGCAAGATGTCCCACATGAGTTCACTTGTCTGTCTCCATAGTGACCTTTCCTTGTTATTAAAAATTAGTAGGCACTAAGTAGGGGAAAATCAGAGAACAGGACAAGTTCGTTCTCAACAGCCTGTGTTCCCAGCACAGCTTGCACAATGTTTTAAATCCAGCAACTAAATAAATTATCCTGTATCTTTTTCATCTCACTTTATTCCTACTGCCCGAGACAAAGACTTTGCTGCTCCCCGTGCTCCAACCTGCAGCTGCACTCTGTAGAGCCAAAGATAGAAAAGCCACCACACCAAAGATCACTCTCATGCCCTGGACAACACATGGGAGTCGTTTCTTTTGAAGCAAAGGTAAGTAAAGCAGCTACTAACGAATGCCAGGCAAAAACACGATTATTTTCATGACAGCACTGTATGCATAGAAGATCCAAGAAAGGAACTATTTATATGTTTCACTACAAAAGGGAAAAAAAAATTGCATATGCAGGAAAAAGACTTGTAAAATACCCAAGCCACTTATTAACCAAGCAGTGATTACTAATTCCTCTCTACACACATTTCTATAAGGCAATTGCCCAACTGTGTCTGTGACTGAAATCAACCTGCAGCCAAACACTGTTTGGTCTCTTCAGGCTCTCTGGGGTAGTCTACAAAGCTCTTCCTTTCGTTACTCAGCTGGTCACAGGCTGGCGGTGGAGGAGAGATATTTGCCAGCTCAGGTTGTCACCCCAGAGTTATTGAATTGCTCATTCTGGAGTCTTTGCTTGACCTTTACTGGCAAAGAAAACCAAACCAAAACCAAAGAGAAATATCCTCCTGACTACTGAGCAATTAAAAAAGCCAACGAGAGCATCCCGTGCCCCTTGGCTGCACCAAGGGAGCCTCCAGCCCTGTTCCTCTGCATGGCCACTCCTTCTGGGTGCCAAGGTTCTTCCTTGATGCCCTGAGACCTCCTCCCATACCCATCCTCCAGCAGGGGCTGCCAAAAAAGTGCCTGGGCATTGCCTGTTTTGAGATCCCTGGTGCACACTGGGGAGTTCCTAGATGCTCATGATAACCACACCGGGCTTCAGGTGGATGAGCCAAGAACAGGAGAGGAAAAAACCTCCCTGTGTATGTGACAGTCCCTCCGTCACCCCTAGAAGCCACCCTAAAGGAGCCTTGAGGTTAGAGGAGGGATTTATGGTGCTAACAAGTGGGTTTTGTTGCCAGTTCCAAGGCTGCAAGGAGAAAGCATACCTTTCCTGGCTGAGCAGGACACTGCTGTTCACTGGAAGCAACCCGTGGCAGGCCGCTGGGAAGAGAAAAAGCCTTTCTGTGCTATCAGCTTCAGGCAGAGCCTCAGCCTTGCCCAGAAGAGCCACCATGATGTTCCCATCAAGGCTGGGACAAGCTGCAGCCAGGGCAGGCTGTGGGAGGCTGGAGCATGGAGGCAGCCTCTGCAAAGCCTGCAAACTTTTGCTCAGTGCCCTTTGCAAACACCCATGTGACTACTACAGGAATGCTCCCAGACTGAGAAAACAGTTAGATTTCTCTTCTGTGATAACCCCGCTTCCATTTCTTCATTGTGAACTCTTCCCCCAGGGCTTTCCTGGAGGCTACCACCACAGGGGACCAGCCTCCACCTGTGCCATGTTGCGCAAGCGCCTTTACTCGAAGCCAGTTATTTACGTGACTCCTTCCACTGCCTAGGAAAGCATGCTGAGTATTTCAGTGATGTATCAGCTCTGAACAACTTTATTTAATGTGGTGACGGCCACGTTGCCAGTGCCCCAGAACCCTCTCCACAGCTGAATAATCTGTAACATCCGAGACAGAAACCTCGGCAGAGCTGAGATGGGGATGACGGCAGCCTCTAGGAGCAGACAAAGCTCAGGGAGAACATTTCAGGTTGCATTAGCAAGGCTCTCATGCCGCGGCTTTGCGTAGAAATGGGGGAAAGCCTTGCTGGAAAAGCCATTAGCAGGCAGCCTTGGCATCTGTTTAGACAACTGGGCTCCACTGCTGCCTCTGGCTGTGTGAGCATCACTGCACCCTTGTGCCTCCCTCTGCAGAAGGAGGGATGATATGGATTCCTTTGAAAAAGTAGGAAAAGCACCTTGACAGAGGTAGGAATTAGTTGTTTTGGACTATGTCTGTCTACAGGCAAGAGTTGGGCTCCCCAGGAGCCAAACTTCCACAGCAGCTGGACTTGCTCTGGGCATGGAGAACATGCAGAGCAATTCAAACAGGTCCCCAAGGAGTTAACCACCAAAACAGATGAGCTGGACCAAGGCAGTGGGAGAAGGGAAGAGCCATGGGGCTGCACAAGCAGGGACAAACTCCATGTCCCATGTTGCCATGTCTAACCCACAGACCTCTGGATCACAAAACCCTTCAGAAATGGGCTGAACCCAGACGGCAGAGCCACTGTGAACTTTATTTGCTCTGGAAATGACTTGTGGAGTTATACAAAAATAACCTGTGGATTGGCCTGCTTAGGTGGTGAAGTCAGTGCAGTAAGCAAATTATCTTTCATCAAATTGGCTGTATTTTTAAACACAAACTCTATTACTAATTTGGGGGTGCCCCGGCCTGCAGATAAGCTGAGTGCATTTACTGGATGACCTTCCTCCAGCACTTATAGTTTAAAATAAAATGTATTTATACCAGGTAGCAGGGTTGGCCTGGTTTGAGAGAAGAGATCATTAGGAAACCCCACAGCAAGTGGGGGGATGCCAAGGAGACCTGTGAAGGGGCTCAGACAGGACAAGTTCAGGGCACAACCCAAAAGGCTGAGCACGTTCTTCACGTTAGGACCCTCCATGCATGAGGGGCAGGCCAGGGGTGGCCCATGCCCATGCTCTACAAGGATGGGCACACCCTTGGGAATGTTTTGCATGGCAAGGAGTCCTTAAGCTGAAGCTCCTGCCAAGCTTCTGCCAGCAAGGGATGCAGAAAATGCTGTTTGCGTGCGGCTCTCCACTCTTGCACCCAAGTCAAAGCCCTCTTCTCATCTGGATGCACCTATTGCTTCTTGGCCCAGGTGTGGCATCTCCTAAATACCAGGCTCAAGACAGAAGAGCCCCAAGGAGAGGAGAAAAATCCCTCCTCTGCTCCTCTCCTGCTGTTGGTGGGCAGCAGCATCAAGCAGGAAGAAGGGCAGTGCTGCATCTTGACCATCAGACCTAAGCCCTTGCTCCAGCACCGACAGCTGCAGCCAAAACCCATCCCTGGGGAGTTTGCCACACTTTAAAGATGAGTCCCAAATAACTCTGCCCCAGAGCTGGGCCCACCAATGCATGGCTGGCTGTGTCAGCAGTGAGTCAGAGGGCAAAAGTTTACCATGGGATAAAAATGAGAGTTAATTTAAGCATTACCACCTTCTGATGAAAAAAAAAAAAAAAAAAAAAAAAAAAAAACAAACAAAAAAAAACAAACCTACACATTTGGGCTTGTTGCTCTGTAAACACAGGGCTCTTCCTCTGGCAGCTTTGCTGTTTACTCAGTCATTGTCAAGGAGGCAGGAAATATTGAGCCCTTAAAGGGCTGAGTGGAAAGGGCCTGAGATAAATAAAATGTGTTTGAGGAGCTCCCAAGCACGATGGCAGCAGAGGAGATGTCTGCTTCCTCCCTGCGTCCTCCCAGGGAGAGCCATTGTGGCACACTCAGCACCGCTGCCTTGTTTCCCTCGGATGTGGGCTGTAATTTAAATAATTCTTGCACTTAGGTCCCAGGTTGGGTCAGGCTCTGGAGCACAGCTTTGCTTTCTGGGGAATACAGCCCAGCTAGGTGTGCTTGGTGTATGCAGAAGAAGGTCAGGAGGCACTTGGGCTACATTGCCAAAGCTCCTGTGCTGTCTTCATCCTTGTTGACTGTGGGACACGAAGGGGGACCGGCTGCTCTTCCACGGGCTCTCTTCCTCTCCTCCAAAAGCAGAACTCCTGGCCCCTGCCTGTGCCCAAAGACCACACCAAAATCCCACCACGCCATGGCTGCCCAGTGCAGAAAAAAAGAAAAAGTGGAGCTAACAGCTTCCGAGCAGAGAGCAGGACTTGGCAATAGCAGAACAGGAGACAGATTTATTTTCAGTCCTGCGTGGGCTCCCATCACCTCTGTACCCTGATTTCTCAGCT